TTTTGTGCAAAATTTTTCTGCACATGCATTTGAATATAAATTTCTGAGATTTTAAATCTGTTATTTTACCTTAATTTTAATTAAAAAATATTTTAAAACCTGCTGATTACCTATAGTATAATTAAATTTCAATATAATGCATGGCAACTGTTGGTAGTTTTGAAGTTTATATATTTTCTTGGCAAACTTCAGTTTTTGACATTTTTGACGGGTTTTTGACGGTTTAAACCAGTATTATACCCTTGTCATGTCAAAAACCACTTTTTGACGTCAAAAACCCAACCCTGGCAGGAACTAAAAGTTATCTAACTAACAGAAGGATATCTAACAAAAGTTAGTCCTCTCATTAGCATAAGTTTGATGAAATAATGCTAACTCTAAATAGTGATTATAATAATAATATTTTAAAAAATAAAAATGATTGAACTTGAACATACAATTAGTGCACAATCAGTTTCAGAATTATCTAATTTTAGAAAATGTCGTATATTTAAAATTTTATTCCTCATGAGTTGTTCGCTCGATTTCGTACAAATTTTTTGTTTTGCCAATTAAAATTCATTCTTTAAAATGATGTAAAATTTTGCCTAGCAAAGCACTATTCAAATTTTTATGCGACTTATATTTAATAAAATATTAAAACATGAAAGATAATTATTAAAAATTAAATTTTATATGGCATTTTCTTTGTTGAAACGAATTTTATAAATGTGTGCAAAATTTTCAGTTAGTTTAAAAAGTTCTCAAAATATGGCGAAATATGCAAAGAGTAAAATTAGCATCAAGGGGTGTGAAATTTCGACCGCTCTCCTAATCTGGTCTAACCAAATTTTAAGGATCGTATTTTCCAGAATACGGCTATCCTCACCCCTAATTTAGAAAGATCCGAATACGTCAAAAATAAATAATATAAATTGATGGTTTCTTAATGTAACAACAAATCACTTTTTATGTTTGTTTTCGTAACTTGAAATATCGTCTGCACTAATTAATTAGTATTTTTAATGGATCATTAAGATTGAATCCTCGTACTTATAAATCCGATCATTATATATTATTTCACTTTTTTATTTTGCTCTCTGTACAACTCTTTTCCCTATTCGGCTACTGTGCTTCTCAGTTGTTTAGCACCTGAAATTTTTTAAGAGTGGTGATAATTTTATTTATTAGAACAGTTAATATTTCGTATTCTACAAAAAGAAGGAATAAACAAAACGCTACTTTCTATTTTGTTCTAAATTTATTAGTCTTAAAAATAGAACTGAAAGTTAACTTATTTATCTTATAGCCTCCATTGACCTTACTTTAAATTTAATTTCCTGAATCCAAAAAGTATTTTCATATTTCCTTCTATAAAATGGATTTCATATATTTATTAGATTTCAATTGCAGATAAATCCACAACATACTGCACCTACTGTAGATGACAATGGCTTCATTCTTTGGGAAAGGTAAGTAAAAGAACTTAAAATTGATTCTATTGTTAAACGAAAATTGTTGTGATAGATCTCTAAAGATAGCGAAATATCTATAGTGAACTGCGTTTCATATCACCGATAACAACGAAATGTTTAAAATACACTGCTCTCGAGTTCCGAAAAAATTACTCTCTTTGAGATTCCCCCCCCCCCATCAAATTCAGTGTATTTTGCTCAAAATTTATTTAAAGCTTTTATAGAATCATTTAAAGGTTTTACAAAAGCATGCTATGCAAATCTAAAAATAACCAGGAACATCTAAAACCCCGATTTATCGTATTTCAACAATAACTTTCCTAACATTTGCCTTTTTATAATTGCTGTCGTATTCTGCTATTTTCCCCTATTTCAAATTCTTAAATACCAGCATCATACTTACACTGCAATTATAATTTTGTGGTAGTTCTCAATTGTTTTAAAGATTAAATTTGCCAAAGAATGAAATATAAATCCTGGCTTGTCACTTTTGCATGCATGGTTTTTCAAAAAAATCTGTTCTCTAAGAAATCGTCTATTCTTAGGTGGTGTGGAACAATATCAGATTCTTTTTTATATTCACTTTAAATAATTATTATTCTTGACTGTTCTAGGAAGTTGGGATTTGTCAGAATACGGAAAAGTTCGAAGGGACTATAGATAGGGCTAAGGGGTTCTTTCTTCTGATGAAAATATGTTTAGTTCCCTAATTTAAGAACAAGATTTTTTTATTTTTTTTTATTGACATTGTGGAATAAATGAAGAGAAGCGAAAAGTAATGAATTAAATTCTATCATATAATTTAACTTATGTGCCCCTTATTTGTTTAGCTCTAACTTTATTAACATTAAATTTGAATTAAAATTTTTTTACTTACTATTCATAATTAAAATTAAAATTTCATTTATTTACTCTGATTCGATTGAATGAATCCTTGCCGAGAAAATCCTGTATTATAAAAAAAATACTATACTCTTAGTGGATGAACTTAGCCCTTTTATTCAAACCAAAAGCTTCAGGTATCAATGTTATCTAATCAGGGTGGCAAGTTTTTGACACATGACGGTTTTTACCGTCATGTCAAAAAACCATAGTTTTGATAAAACTGTATTTTAATTTGAGTTAAACTGCTTATGATTTAAAATTAATTCATTTTTGGGCAATAAAATTAGAAAAAAAGTTGTTAAAAGATATTTAAGAACAGATTTTTGCATTTTCCCAACATGATTATATCAAATCATACTATTTGAAGTAAAATATTAGGATACTAAACAAAATTTTCAACATTTCCAAGCATCATTTTGTTTGGCATATTACATTACTGAAGAATGTCAAGTCATTCCTGACTTAGAGTTTGTTAGTAGTTACAAGTTTTGAAAGTTTTGTTTAGCTTATTTCTAATATTTAAGAAATGCCAAATTTTAAATTCTTCTTTTTAGTTCTTGAATTTATTAATAGTTCCAAGTTTTTTTGTTTGTTTGTTTATTTCTAACAATTAAGAAGTGCAAAATTTTGAATCCTTTGCAAATCAAGCTATAATGATAAAAGTTAAGTATCACTATTTTCAATAAGTATGTTACAATATTTCTGTATGAATGTATATCCTTCTATAAGAATACGTGTATATAGTTGCAAAATCAATAGCAATCGTTTGCAACATTCATTTATAAAGGCAATTAAGTGAAAAAAATATATTGTCCGCTATATACCATAAATTAAAGAAAACAGTAGGTTTTTACCGGTAAAAACACGGTTTTTACCACTGTCATGTCAAAAACCCAACCCTGTATCTGATTAAATGGCGAGCAATGAAGTATTTTTGTTTTCTCCTTTCTAGCCGTGCTGTACAATCGTATTTGGTGGACAAATATGCTCCGGGCAATCCATTATATCCTAAAGATGCCAAAGAAAGAGCCATAGTAGATAGGTTGCTCTATTTTGATATCGGTACTCTCTACAAGACTTTAATGGATTATCAGGTTTGTATTACCTTATGCCGCTTAATTTTTTAATATCTATTAAGTATTGTTGCTGTTGTTCAGGTTTGTATTTTTTTCTCTATGAAATGCAAAGTCTGACCCTATGAATATTGAGTCCACTGATTTGCATCACATTATTTCCGTCTAAGTTGTGTTGGGGTTTATAGACCATTGCTTCCTTTTTTCGCAGTTAAACTTGAACGTAAATGTCGGACAGAACGAAAACGCCTTGCACCTAGGCTTATGCCACCGATTGTAAGTTGCGTTTTGAAAAGGTGGTGGTGGGATTCGTCTTTGGTATACAAAGTTGACGATTGCTTGTGACGGTTATCTATATAAATAAAAATGAATGTCAGTCTGTTCGTTATAGACCGAGAGCGCCGAAATTTGGCGTGCTGTAAGTTTGAAGCACGTAGGAATGTTACTGTCGACATCAGAACATTCATCTACGAATTAAGCATTTCACATTGTTTTAAATTAACCTACGGATGATTCTAATTTTTCAAATATATCAAAGATAACGTCAGTGATATTTTTTAGCTTATAGCTCTATTTGATAAAAAAAACTTGTTGCACGTACTTTAATATTTAATTATTTATTATTCGCTATGTCGTATAAATTCAATGAACAACATTAATGTGGTATTATGGAAGTATTACGTTCCCAAATTAGTATTCCTATAGATATCAGTAAATACGTGTTTACTTCGTTTATAGTAGTTCTTTTAAAACTTGTTTCTAAGAAAGGAAATAATTTAAAATCAACAGTAATTGAAATTAAAGGCATGATTAATGCAAAAAAAAAGTGGTGCCAATTCTTTTAGGTTAAACGTGAAAAATCGCCATACCATTATTTACGCCAACGATGCTTGATTAATTTAGGAAATTGGTACTTATTGAAATAAAAAGTTCAATGCTGAGTTTGAGATGAGTTCAATGTTGAGAACACGAATATTCGTTTTGGGTAACCATAAAAATTCGCGTTATTATTATTGACATCGATGCTTAAATAATGTTGATAAATAATCTAATGTATTCGTCGAAATTAAAAAAAATAAGTTAGCACTAAAAAAAATAGTGCGTGGAGTCCCTCCGCTCGGAAGAAGTCAAACTTCGTAACCTGAGACATTGAATGTAGAAGAACCAGCAGTCGTAGAAGGTTGAATGTAGAAGAACCAGCAGTCGTAGAAGGATCACTAGTTCTATTCAACGACTCTTTTTCCTGCTCCGTTCGCTTCCGTGCTCTGTAATAACGGTAATATTGTGCATTTTTCCCTCGTGGACCTCTTGAACCAGTGGAAGTGCTTGTGGTTGCCTCATCGTCTCGCCATGGAAAATGTATTTGTATTAATAATGTATGTGAATGCGTCATAATGTAATTTCAAAAGAGAAAACCTAACAATCAATTGATATTCACAAGAGACGTACCTTGACATAACCTTAAATCCGTCGCATTGTCCGTGGGATTGTT